TGCTGAAACCTTGGATGACACAATTTTAATATTTTATCGATAACACTGTATATAACACCTCTTTTATGACACATAGGATGATGAGAATGGAAGTTAAGAAATCTTCCAGAAAAAGTGGCTTTACGATAGCAGTCAAAAATCAAACTATTCTCTTTTACAATAATCTTCGTGTCTAAAAAACTTATCTCTCCTTCATTGCCCACTTCTATAGTGAATTTTAATCTGTTATGTAAAGAATTAAAAATATCTAAAGTATCATTGATGCTCTCAGTTGGAACCACCAAAATAATGTCATCAACGTAACGGTAATAAAACAACGGATGGAATGGTAATAATCCAATTGCCACTTCCTCAAAATCCTGCATAACAATATTAGCTACGACAGGCGATAGTGGAGATCCCATAGGTGCACCATATATTTGTTTATAATATTTATCGTTAAACATGAAGAAAGTATTAATTAAGTATTAATTTAATATTAATGGTCGACCTGAGAACATAGTCAATTTTGTCAGGAATAACACTGTTCCAATTTTAGAAAGATTCCACAATGAGTTTCCACGAATTGATTCAAATAGTAAAATGATTTTTAATTGGATTAAATCTACAAAAAAGTTTTCTAAAGATCATCCTGAAGTATTTTTTTCCAAGGCAGACAAAGGCAATGTTACTGTTGTATTGAATAGAGATGATTACATTAATAGGGTAGAGTTGATGCTCTCAGATGTTAATACATATGAATTGATAAAAAAAGATCCTACTAAGAGACTTACCACTGATTTAAAAAATATTATAGTTAGATGGAAAAATAATGGTTACATTGATGATTTTACTTACAAGAAGTTACTCACTACTGACGGTAATATCCCAAGGGCATATGGGATGACTAAGATTCATAAAGTTAATTATCCTATGAGGATTATTGTTTCTTCGATTAATAGTCCGTTATATTATTTGTCATTATTTTTACACAATATTATTAATGGTTCCATAGGTCAAGCACCAAGTTTTATAAAAAATAGTAGTGATTTGATTAATAAAATAAAAAATGTTAAACTTGAAGCTAATTCTTCATTGGTTTCACTTGATGTTGTTTCCCTTTTTACTAATATACCTTTAGATTTGGCAACTGATAGCATTGTCAGAAGATGGGATCTAATATCGAAAAAAACGAAAATTCCACTCGAAGAATTTATTATTGCTTTTAAATTAATACTTAATTCTACTTTCTTCATGTTTAACGATAAATATTATAAACAAATATATGGTGCACCTATGGGATCTCCACTATCGCCTGTCGTAGCTAATATTGTTATGCAGGATTTTGAGGAAGTGGCAATTGGATTATTACCATTCCATCCGTTGTTTTATTACCGTTACGTTGATGACATTATTTTGGTGGTTCCAACTGAGAGCATCAATGATACTTTAGATATTTTTAATTCTTTACATAACAGATTAAAATTCACTATAGAAGTGGGCAATGAAGGAGAGATAAGTTTTTTAGACACGAAGATTATTGTAAAAGAGAATAGTTTGATTTTTGACTGCTATCGTAAAGCCACTTTTTCTGGAAGATTTCTTAACTTCCATTCTCATCATCCTATGTGTCACAAAAGAGGTGTTATATACAGTGTTATCGATAAAATATTAAAATTGTGTCATCCAAGGTTTCAGCATAATAATTTAATAGAAGCTATTAATATATTTTTACAAAATGGATATCCTCTATATTTCATTTTTTCTTCGATTCATAATAGAATAAAATTCCATATGAATAATATTTCTAATAAAAATAATACTCCAAAAAAATTTTTTACAGTTCCTTATGTTAATAATATATCTGAAAAGTTCAAACCGATAGCCAATATGTTTCAGTGCAAATTAGCATATACTATTCCGAACACACTGAAAAGTTACATCAAAAGAGGCAAAGATAATTTAGAATATAAAAGTAACCAAAATGTGGTATATAAGATATCCTGTGACAATTGTGATGCTAGTTATGTCGGGCAAACTAAAAGACAACTAAAAACGAGATTAAAAGAACATGTGTCGGATATTAATAAAGTATCTAAATCTCCTTCTGTTATTACGGAACATAGATTAAAGTTAAATCATAATTTTAAATGGGATAATGTCGAAATTTTAGATATCGAACCTTCGTACAAAAAGAGATTGATATCTGAAATGGTACACATTAAAAAACAGACACATGGTATAAACAGACAAAATGACACAGAGTTATTGCCAGAAATGTACAATAATATGATACATTCTTTATCTTCGTCTTAAATTTGTCTTTCCTTGTTTATATTTATTTTTATTATTATATCTTTTGACTTTCTTTTCCAACGACATTATCTTCTTTAACATTGATACGTGTGCTTGATAGTTGCAAGGTATCTTATCCGTTTAAACCTTACATGTTTTACATTAAATTGACGCAGAATGACTTTTACATATGGATTTATTTTGATTTTTATTTTTGACAAGGTATATATGACTTTTATATTTGTATTAGATTTTAATAATTTGTGACTAGGTGAATATGACTTTTAGTTTTTGAATTTTTAAACAATGTTAAAATTTATATTTTTATTAGGATCAAAGATGGAATAACAGATATGAAGTCTAAGTTTATACACAGATTCTCGAATTTTAGTATTATGAATTTATGTAATGACAGTTTAACTTTTATGTAGATATATTGCTGTATCATTGAAAATGACACGATCGATGTCGAAACTTGTTTGATTTTGTTTTATTGTATTATCATATGAATTAAATTAATGTGTTAGATAAAATTGGCTCTACGCCCTATTTGCATTTTTATATTGTTTTATACATATAGAGCCTTCTTATTAATTTTTATAATTTACAAATTATTATTCTAATTAATAATTAATATCATGAAGGATTGTTCTGATAATCAATTTCGTAATAACATTATACCAAAAAAATCTATCACATATGTAAGGAATAATATGGAAACGAGGACTAAAACAGAAACTTAACTTGTTGTAGCGAAAATGCTAACGGCTACTTTATTGTTCGTCACCACAACAACGTTCCTGTTCATCCCGCACGCATGCGTCTCCGTCTCGCGTTTCCTCTATCGGAAGTACATTACACGTAACGCCAGCGCTATCTACGCGCGAGTTTCGATTTGCCTTATATTTCGGCCAGTCCTGACTATTTGTCCGTCCTCGGACATGATTTCGTATAAAATTATGAAAAGAAACTATATAAAATTATTGAATATAAACGAAAGTATATAAGCATTACATAAATGAGTAGTATTTCGCAAAGTTTGACAAAAATGAAATAAGGTTTCACAATATAGAATGAGATTATTATTTATGCGGAAATAGTGGCCAGTCCGTCCAGCCACGGTTTAAGATTTTTTGCTTCCCACGTTCCTTCGTAAGGACGTCGTGTAGTTTGGGAATTCTCCGGATCTCGAACAATATATCTGTCGTTCCTGAGGACTCTAACTATTTCGTAAGGCCCCTTATATTCAGGAATAAGCTTCCGTGGTGCGCCAGGGGTGCTGTCGAAGTTCCGTATCCCTACGTAGTCGCCTTGCTGATATATGTATGGTTTTTTCTTGCTTCTATCGTATTGACGCTGATTGTACTCCTGGCTTTTTAAAATATTCTTCTCGGCCTTGGCTCGGATCACCTCAAGATCGTGGCGGGGGGTGGTGTCTTCATTCTCTAAATGCTCTTTGATTTTGTCTATGTTTGGTCCACGCTGGGCTATCCCGAACAGCAAATGACTTGGGGTGTCTCCAGTAGATTTGCTAACAGTGTTATTTATTGCGAATTCCGCTTCTGATAGTACCTTATACCAATATCTTCCTGAGGCATTGTCAACCATCTTAGCAAGAAGCGGCTTCAATATGCGGTTTATACGCTCTACCTGTCCGTTTGCTTTCGGCGAACCCGTAGCTATTAATACATGGTGAACGTTGTTTTCTTTAAGAAACTCTTCAAATTCAGCTGAGGTGAAACTAGTTCCTCTATCACTTATTATAGTATGTGGACGGCTGTAATTGGCGAAATGATGTTTCAACCAATCAATGGTCTCCTTTGAGGCAGTCGTTTTGGTTGCATATAGTTTCGTAAACTTGGTGAAAGCATCCACAATTACCAGAATATGCTGCTTTACCAGACATTTCTTATCCATCGGTCCCATATGATCTATATGGTAGGTCTGGAACGGCAAATGACCCTTAGGTATGGGATGAAGGAAACCCTCGGATTTACCTACGACTGGTTGGAAAGAAATGCACTTTAAACAGTTCCGAATGTGATCTTTAATCTTGTCATGCATTCGCGGAAACCAGTAGACTTTATCAATTGCCTCATACGTTTTTCTGGACCAAAATGACCTAACTCATCATGATATTTTCTCAGTTTGTGGTTCTCCATCTTTTCCGGCACGTAGAATCTTAACTCGTTCTTCTTCTTACGATATATTAATCCGTTTCGCATCTCGTATTGCTTGTCCTCCGTTTTTTCAAGTTTTTCGCGTAATTCTCGAATTTTTGGATCGCGATTTTGACTTAAAGCTAATTCTAACTCTAAAGGATTGTCTTCAATTACAAGGATATTTGTAGCCCTACTAAGAGCATCTACGTGTTGCATTTTCGTGCTAATTCTATGCTCAAGAACATAGTCAAATTGCATAAGTTCAATAACCCAACGCTCAATTCGCGGGCTTATCTTTTTCTTATCTATTGTCATTTTCAGTGACGCACAGTCGGTAACTATCTTAAATTTAATACCATGAAGGTATATACGAAAACGGCGCAATGCATAAATAACGGCGAGTGTTTCCAGCTCGAAGCTGTGATAACGACCTTCGGCATCAGTCGTGCGTTTGGAGAAATATGAAATTGGATGGAATTTCATATCCCTCTTCTTTTGCATAAGTACGGCGCCAAAACCGTGATTACTTGCGTCTGTATGGAGTTCCGTTTCGTCCTGAGGGCTTTATATACTAAGTATAGGTGCCTCGAGTAACCTTTTTTTTAGTGATTGGAATGCCTGAAACTGTTGTTCTCCGAACATAAATTCTACGTTCTTTCGAAGCTGATCGTATAACGGTTTCGCTATGACGGAGAAACCCTCAATAAATTTCCGAAAATACGCTATCATCCCGAGGAAGCGTTGTAAGCTTTTTATATTATCCGGAGTTGGATAATTTTCAATTGCATTAACTCCCGCTTTATTCGGTTTAACTCCGCTCTCTGATATGCGATAACCCAAAAATTCTACTTCTGTACATAAAAATCTGCATTTGTCGATACGGAGCTCCAACAGATTTTCTACTAGGCACTTAAATAACTGTTTTAACACTTTGAAATGATGATCTACAGTGACCGTCGCAACTAATACGTCATCCATATAAACGACTATATCTCCGCTTCTAATTTGCTCTGCTAGTGCTTCGTTTACAAATCTCTGAAACCTTGCTGGCCCGACCTTGAGTCCAAATGGCATGTGCCGATATTCGAATATTCCGAAAGGCGTCGTAAATGCAGTATATTTTATTGATTCGTCCGCAACCTTAATGTGGAAAAACCCATCTTTCAGATCTAGTATACTGAAATATTTTTTGTCTCTGAGGGAATCAATGTGGTCTTCAATTATAGGGAGAGGATAATTATCTCTACGTAAGACTTTGTTGAGTACTCTATAATCAACGCAGAGTCGAGAGTCTCCGTTTTTCTTTTTTACTAAAATAATTGGTGAAGCAAATTCGGACTTACTAGGTTGAATTATGTGTCTTTCCAGTAATTCATCTAATATTTTCCTTAGCTTTTCCTTTTCAAAAGCTGACATTCGACGCGGATTGAAATGAAACGGTTTGTTGTCTGACAAATATAACTTTAACTCCATATCGACTCTCGGAATACTCGGTCTCTTGGGCTCAATGTACTCAGATTTAAAAAGTTCTCGCAGATTAAGCTGTACATCGCAAGGTATCTCAGTGCTTACATTTAAAGAATCTAATGCTATATCACGCGAATCACTTATCTCTACATTTAGAAGATCATCTATTGCCTGGCTTTCCATCTTCCTTAAGCGTAATCCAAACCTCTTTAGCGTATCACGTCCTAATATTACTGGACTAGTCATAGTTGTGTCTGGAACAACTAATACTGTTTGATCATCTATTGTTTCATCTTTGAATGTAATATTTAGTTTGACGTATCCAACTACCTGTAATAATGAGTGATTAATACCATAATAATTTCCTGAAAACTTATCAAGTAACTGTATTGCATCTCTCGGAACTATGCTTTCTTTTACAAAACTAATTTTACTACCTGTATCCATTAAGGTATTAAGTCTAATTTTCTGACCTATTTTAGGTTGACTAATTTCATAATCTATGTACTCGAAAAATGCCCCCTCTTTCTCCATGTCGTTCATAACAGAGCAGACTTGGGTATCGACGTCGTCGACGACTGCAACGTCCGCTGATGGTGCAGCCTTTGACGGGCAGTCCTTAACTGCATGACCCATCACCCCGCATCTAAAACACGAGCCTTTCTCGCGCTTTGGCTGTTGACAATCGACCGCCAGATGTCCAAATTTGTTGCAATTGTAACAGCGAGGTTTCTTTGATTTCTTTTCCTCGCTCTTTTCTTGTTTTTCTTCTTTCTTCTCGCCATCTTTTGATAGTTCCGCTTGTAGCTTAGTATCTTGCTTATTTGTTGATCGCGAATCACGTTTAAAATTACTTTTTGCAGTTGATCGTAATGATATTTTCTCGAATACTCTCAGCATGTCTTCTTTCTTCGAAAATTCCTTCATTCTTGCTAGATCTTGCAGATGGTCGCTCGGAATATCATCAATTAAATAATCGACCATTTCTTCTTCATCAATGGGAACGTTTTTAGCCAGTATTACCTTATCGTGGAAATAGTCTGCGAAATTCTCAGATGATTTCCATTCTCTCGCCTCGAATTTTTTTCTCAGCGCTACACGTGTTGGACGATGGTCATACATTCTCCTAAATCCATCCATTATTTCATCGAGAGTCATGGTAATCGTGTTTTCTGCTTGAAACCACGACTTCGCTTTACCTTTCAACTTATTGCTGACTAACAGCTTGGCTCGGTCATCGTCCAGGCGATACGTTGCACACAGTTGCCTAATCTGTTGTTCCCACTTCCTGAACGTGCCAGCACTTCCATCAAAAAATCCTACCAGTTCTAACATAGCACTGATATTTTCTCTCTTAAGTGGTACTTCTACCATTGGTGGCGTAACTCGACGTAATTGTTCGTTTTCTCGACGAGCAATTTCTAGCTCTCTTCTTAATAGCTCGTTGTCACGTCGTTCGAACTCGAGTTGCATATCGTGATATTGACGCTCTAATCTTCCGACACTTACATTGTTATCTCTACGACCTCTCGGCCGATTTCCGTTCTCTGCTGTATTTCGACCTTCCATTCTTTCTTCCTCTTGTTTTCCGTCCTCGTCTTCCACCTCCTCGTACTCGTCCGATCCCGTACTATCCGGAGCGGTATCTGAGGTTCCGGTCTGAATTCCGTTTAACCAATCTCCGTTCAGGTCGTTTTGATTTAGGCGAGCTATAAGATCTGCCTTCTTCCCGCTGATTGGCAAGCCCCGCTTCCTTAGTTCGGCCTTAAGTTGCGTCACCGAGATTCTTTTCGGACCCATAACCTTAGCACACTGCTTAAAGTATTCGTAATGCACTGACTTACAATGCCACCTTAATGTTAGCGTCACCTTACTGTTTCTCACGAACTTCCTCGTTACTTCTGATATATACGCGTCTCGTTCTACACACGATGCCAATGTCGGAAGATGGCTGCTGTTTGCGAGAATCGCGTGCCCCGATCGACAGGTTGGCTCTCTCCCGTTTTCGTCTCAATCTGACGCGAAAACCGACTTGTTCTTACACTTCTCGTGTCCCGATCCCACTTCTGATTTTGTAAGGAATAATATGGAAACGAGGACTAAAAGAGAAACTTAACTTGTTGTAGCGAAAATGCTAACGGCTACTTTATTGTTCGTCACCACAACAACGTTCCTGTTCATCCCGCACGCATGCGTCTCCGTCTCGCGTTTCCTCTATCGGAAGTACATTACACGTAACGCCAGCGCTATCTACGCGCGAGTTTCGATTTGCCTTATACATATAATCAAATACGCTAATAAACGTAATTTTTGAAAAAAAACGATTGAAATGATTGAAATTATTTATATTATTTTGCAGGTACACAATTTAGAAGTAATTGATCAAAATGGTGTTCAATTGGGAGGAGGAAATACCATAAAACGATAATAATACAGAGATATTAGAGAGATCCGAGTACATTGAAAGTTCTTGATGCTAGTGCTAAAATGTTGGATGTGACTAATGCAAAGCTTGTCGACAATAATGTTGCCTTAAATAAAAGTGATGTCAAAATAGTTGACAACAACGCAGTAGTACATTACAATAATAAAAACACATGAAATTCTCAAGGTAATGCAATACAACCGACAATTTCGACGTTAGAAAACAAACTGATATATGATTGAAGGTGCCAGTTCAAAGTAAACATTCATAGAATGTATATCCTTTAGTTGCGTATATACGTAATAATAATTTAACAACACATGCACACTAGATCTTTATAATAGTAATAATAAATCATTATTATTACGCATATATGCAACAAAAAAATATACATTTTATGTATGTTTACTTTGAACTCGAACCTTCAATAATATAATATATCATTTTTCATGGTAATATGTAAAATAGTATTTTTTATATACATATTCATTTCCATTTCATTATCTTTCAATAATAATATAAAAAACTATTACAGTTTGATCTTTCACCTAGAACACTATATTTGATTCAAGATTTTAGAGTGTAAGTTAACTAGTTTTCAATCACGTATATCTTCATAAGTATACGTTTACAAATTATTATTCTAATTAATAATTCATATCGTGATTGTTCTGATAATCAAATACGCTAATAAACGTAATAAGTGTTTTGATATAATGTTATTAAGATATTGATTAACAGAACAATCGTTCCTCACAATATTAATTATGAATTAGAATAATATTTTGAAAATGTATACTTATGAAGATACACGTGATTGAAAACTGTAACTCACACATGTGCTTCAAAATCTTGAATCAAATATAGTGTTCTAGGTGAGTCATCAAAATAACAGTTTCTTATATTTCAAAAATGAATCACAAAGATCAGCATTAATTTTAAAGAATTCTTATTAAATTGTCTTACCATATTGTCTACTTTAACGTAATACATTTTTTTATTGGAAGATAATGAAATGGTAAAAAATCTTGGCATAATGAGGTATTCAAGTTAGACGTAAAGTTGGGAACTATTGGTGTATGTTCACTTTGAACTGGCCTTCAATAATATATGAGTCATTTTTCATGGTAATATGTATAATAGTATTTCTTATATACTGTGACGTGACATTTTGTCAGTCACTTGGAAAAGGATTGCGAGATCCTGGGTCCTTCAGGGTCAACGGGCGAGCGCTCAAGCGAATGTGCGACATTATTATTTATTTGTATTTTCCTTTGCGATTATTGTATTATTTTTTTTATTTTCTTGTCGCTATTTAGTTAAGTTTTAGTTAATATTAAGACGATCCTGAGCTCGGATTTTGCCGGTAATTCACGATCAGAGCCGGTGGCTACGCTGTATTCTTGTGTTTGACCGCCTCACCTATCGCTAGAAGAGAGAAGACGTCGCCTCCTACGATCGAGAGATGGCTGTATGAAGAGTTTGGCTGAAGTCATGAGAAGCGCGTTACACGCAGGTCGTATTATTTCATATTTATTACTAATGTCGCTATTATTTGGTGGATTATCGCAGACGCCTCGGAGAGAGGCATCAGCTGGGAACGGACTCACAGGCAGGACCACCGCCGAAGCGCCGTATCCCACAACGATCATTGGAAGATCGTCGAGTGACCAGAAAGCATTTTCCGCCTTTTTGGAAAAGCGCGCCACAGAGTTTAAGGATCCGTGACACGCAAGGACCCGCGGGATTCGTCGCGGAGTCACGCGGTCGCGGCGAGCCAATTAGAGCAAGCAGAGGCCCGATAAGAGAGTGCCTGACGGCCTGCGTGAATCCGCCGAAACTTCCGATCGGCACTTGTGCAGTGACGGACTCCTAGAAAGGACGCAGGATCTCGCCCATAACTTGTCAAGAATTTCGAGAATATTCGTCGAAGACGAGCACTGCTATAGGCTCACGTACAGACTTTTGAAGGAAGCAGCTGAGGAGGAACATCTTGGTGAGGCGAGCGTCATTCCGATTTTGTTGTAAAGCCACCGATAGCGTAATATTTTGTGAGCGTTTCCAGCGGATCGCGTGCGAGAATTTACGCGAATTTGATTCGGCCATTGTCGTACCGGCAAATTGTGACGCCATTGTTTCTCTCGATGAACGCGTGCCGTCCGCTCGAACGTAAGAATTTACAAACTCAGGATTGTCGTTATTGCTCGCTCAACCAAATGCCACTGCCAAGTCAAATTGTTCGTATCAATTGTTGAGATTCCGGTTTGTTTAAGATTAGAGTTGAGCCGCGTTTCACCGCTCAGCATTAGGCTGTCGGTTTGCTGGAAGTTCTTAGAGTCGAACATTTCTAAGTACCGCCGTCGACGACCTTGCCATTGGTCTTTCTGTAATAAAGTAAACTTGTCGTCGACGCGCGAACGCGATATTCTGTAAATTACTTCAACTCATGTATCGACGCGAATGGAATAAATTGGAAACTCTTTGTTATTATTAATATTAATTTCTGTCTGATTATTTCTGTCAGCTTCTACCTCGTTCTCCGACATTGTTTCCCGCTTACCGCGAACCACTCCCCTCTGCCAATTCCGTTGGCTGAGCTAGCCGATCTTGTCCGTCGCGAATTCCGTTGCTCTGTAATTTCTTTGTCCGAGCGTAACATCTTAAAATTTAGTGCGAAGAGTGGCACGCCCTTTCGTGCCTGGCGCCCAACGAAATTTGTACGCCTCGAATATCGCAGCACATAAAATTTGAAGGAAGAACCGCAATTTTGCTATTTATCAGGAGACGCGGTAGCGTCTCCGGCCATGTTCAAAAAAACTCTGAGACGCTACAAGTCTCTTATCCCGAGCCATCAAAGTCCATTATTGGGAGGTGCATAACTATTAAAATATAAAAAATTTTGAATCGAACGTCATATGTCCTGAAAGGCGGCATCACCACGAGTAATTTGAG